GATAGACCATGGATTGAGTTCATAAAGAATCTCTGCTGATTACCACTGCCCACATTCTCTGCTGGCTAAAGCACTTTTAAAAGCAGAGACATTCTCTGCCTAAAAGAGAAAACTTGGAATGATACAGTACCAGGAGTGCTTGTCATTAATTCAGCGGAAGCCTAACAGAATTTTATGTCTGCAGGGCCATCATACATTAATGACATATATGGGAAGGAGCATTTAAATTATTCAGGAACACTAGGAATGCAGATCCAGCAGTTTTTAGATTTCTCAACTGCTGTACCAAAAAACAACAACCTCCCTCCCCCACGCTCACATACACAAACACAAGCTGGGCAGATTTAGTTCTTCAATCACTGTCTGATGAAAACAAGCCACACTCCTTTCAATTTGTTGCACACATAACAATGGAACCTTCTGTCAATGTATCCAGTCTTTTACATGGCCAGCAAGCCTTCAAAGGTATATTTGCTAAATCTTCTGGGCAATTTCAGCAATTATAAACATATAAACAAGCGGCTTCCTCTAAAAACACCAAAGAGACCAGAAGAGGCATAGAGCAAACAGATTCCATATGTCTGTGTTTACTGACTAACAACAACAGTGCCAGTGTGCAGTGCTGGCTTATTCTATTTGTTGTTTTAGTTGACAGCTCTTGCTTGAGCACCCATCACCATGGCAACTCTGCACAACTCACAATGCACCCAAACGAACTCAGAGCTAAATTAACTTATTGCATGTCACCAATGAGAAATGACTGTTCAGAGGTAATTTTCTGTACTAATATGTAATAGAGTTAACTCTCTAAATTGAATTAAATTAATTAAATGCCACTCCCAGTAAATCAGATTCTATTACATCAATGTTAAAATAAATTAAATGTTTTATTAAAACCACTAATAATATTATGCTATTACTTCATTCATTCAAAATTCTGTACAGTTGATTTTAGACACATGCATGCTTTGCACTAAGCAGGAACGTAACTAACTGGAATAGTCTGCATTTGTTACAGCATTGCTTATAGCAAGGTATGACAAGTGGAAAAGAGGGCAAGTTGGTTTCACTAAATCTGTTCATCATATAATATCACTATACACATTTTAGTCAACCTTAGCTTATGACTCAATATTTCTAAAACTGAGGGTGATCTTCAAAAGCATTACTGTTTTGTACTAGAACTAACACAAAAAATCCCTACACCCACTCTAGTTTAGATGAACAAGTAAGTAAAATATCAAGAACATCTTTTGACAAAAGTGACAATTTTTGCTGGGGGTCATCCAGAAGCCAGTTAAGTCTAGAGCACACAATTTTAACAAGTACAGAAAATTAGCAGCAATTTAAAAAATGGAAATAACACACAGTGTTAATAAATGTATCCTTACAACATTCTGGCTTTCTCGTTACATGTTAACATTCCATAACAAAAGAATTGGGAGTCATTACTGACAAGAGTCAAAAGCCATTTGTTCAGCAGACCCTATGTCAAGAATTATTAGGAAGTACTTGGAATACTATATCAAATTGTGGCTGCCCCATCTCAGAATGAGCAAAAGAACCGGAAGAGATACATAACATCTGGGCAAAGCAAAGGAAAACCTCCCTATCAGAGCCACTTGTTCTGAACAATCTAAAACAAGGATCCCTTGCAAACAGCAGAGGGAGCACACACGACTGTTACACCTATCTTGATCCTACTCATTCTGCTGTTGCTTCAACAGGAGGGAAACACAGTGCTCATTTCAAGGGACAGAAGAATAATTATTTTCATAAAGTGAACACATTTGGCTTTTAGGGCACCACAAAAATATTTTGGATTTATCTAAATTCCAAATAGGACACAAAACAAAATGCTGCAGGATGGATTGCTCCTGCTCAGGGTTCTAGCCAGCTAGCCAAACCTCTTCGAATACTCCACTCCAATTGTTTGCATCCCTGCCTTTCTTCTTTACTTCCCCATCAAACATAGCCATATGTAAAGAAACATTTCCCTTTAAAAAACATGATCCTTCTCTGCTCATTACATCAGTGTATTGTAAAGAAAAAGACAGCTGCTCAACACAAGAGTTGCAACCTTGGATTTTCATGTACAAGCAGTATGTTAAAGACTGCCCAATCACCCCTGATCCCTTTAGAATGAAAAAACATGGAAAAACCAGACTTCTGGTTTGTCTGTTCCTACAAAAGCAAGAAAAATAAACCAACAACAAACCATAACAAAGTTTTATTTGGTTGGGTTTTTTTGGAGGGGGGAGGTGCTTGGTGGGGGAAATGCAAGCCAGAGATCTGGGTTCACACATCATGGTAAACAAACCACAGGCCAAAGCCTTTTGGTTTCTTTAGCTACCCTAGCTTAGAGCAGGAAAAACAACATGGAAAAAGTCAGTGCATGTGTGTGTGTGTGTGTGTCTGTACTGAGGCATTTATATGCAGGGCTTTTTTTGTCATAGAACGCACCAGAACTGCGCCTTTTTTTCAATGGATTTTAGGAAGTGGTTTTGAACTTTGAACGGAGTAACAGATCAGCAGCAAACATCATTAACATAGTGCCTGCAGGCTGCTATTGTGTCTGCTCTCTGCTATCTGATAGTGAGAGATAGCTGGCTGCTCGCTGCTGCTTGGGATTGGTGTGTGTGCTTACTGCCAGCGGGGACGGGAGTTCCGGCACTTTTTTTTTTTAAACAAAAAAAGCACTGTTTATATGTATTTACAAAACAGTAAGTTGAAAGATGCCCTAGGAATGAACATACAAGCTTTAAAATATGCCTGTTATTATAGGAAGTGTGGCCTCACATGTGGAACTGAATTCTCACAAGGTCTTCACTGATTTTTCTCATTCCATAGATGACTAGCAAGAGCCCACAGTCGATACAACAAGTCCTTATGAGTATATGCAGCTGAAAAATCACAGTGTGCCTAAAATAATCTCTCCAAGACCTGTGCATTGCAACCTCTTTTGTTTTCCAGTATCACCATTGGAGGGATGTAGTTATCAGAAGCTGCTCTTTGTATATTGGCAGTAATCCTACTAGAAGACAGATTACTGGTTAGTTCAAGATCCCAAACCCAACCCCTTGCCAAAATAAAATGGATTTTCCAAAACTATTGTGATTTCTAAAATTTCAACTCTTTGGGCATATCACAGCTGGTGTGGCTTAATAAAGTGCACTAAGCAAAGCACATTAAGGCAGAAAAAGTCTTTTATTGCACAGTGAAGTATACACTGTGGACGGATAAATAACCATAAAGCAGCAGGAAGCTTGATCACAACTACCTCAACTATTGTTCAGTAGTTGGACTAAATTTATATTCTAGCCAGCATAGTGCTATTCTGTGCGATTGATTTTCATGAATGACCTTTTGGCCTGACACAAACCAGCAAGCCCTCTCTGCAAATCACTGAAGTCAGAGCTGCTTTTCCTTCAAAATATGAAAGAAGGTAGGCATAGTATTTTGCTTAATTCAATTCATCAAACAAAACAGAGGAAACGTGGGAAAAAGCAAGGATGTAGTCTCTACCAGGATCATTGGAGGATTTGTGAGAGCCAACTTATTGAATCTACTACTCCTATTATGCCACAAGGGAATCTCAACTAAAGCTTTTAAGCTCTAAATGTAACTAGAGTGTGGGGGACAAAATGATTCCCACATTTTTCACAAACTGAGGTCCCATTTGAATGTTAAACATTGGGCAAAAATCTGATATTAAACCTGAAAAGGTACACAGTCACCTTCCGTTAAAGAAATTGAATAGTACTTTCAGTGCATTCCTCAAAGAAATAAGTAGCGGGAGAGCTCACCTAAGTAGGAGAGGGAGCACTGAGCAGCAGGGGCAGGTAGAAGGTAAACTGGGATCCTATGAAAGATCACGGAGTGATTTCCAGTAGAACTCCAGGGATTTCTGACTCCCAACTGTTTAACATTGGCTCTAACAAAATAGCCTAATTTGAATGTAATGACAAATCATAGTTAAGTATTGCTTGTTAAAGAACTGTTGTTGAATTGTGCGTCACTGTGTCACCCTACACTATGGTTTCACTCTGTGTTGGTAACACTGAACAATTCAGAAAGAGAACCTATAGTTTGCTATTGAGTTGTGACCTATGGCTGATAACCCAAAGATAAACCATAGTGCAGGGGCTGTATAAAATGACAACCCATTATTCAACAACAGCCCATATTCAACCCCTAGGTGGTCAATGACTCTCTTCTCACATCCTTAATTAGATTACTAAAATAAAGAAAGTTTGGCGTAGCCAGGAATTGATTTATGCTCACAGGATTCCAGACACAAAGTACATTCTACAAGCCTGAAGCCTATCCTACTTCTACTATACAGTGTTACTAAGAAAGCAACAGTGACAAAGTTTAAGAAGCCACATTTTTGGCTATTCTGCACAATCCAACATATAATCCACACGCAGTGTGTTGTGTGTGGTTGCTCTGTTTTCTGTTTTTTGCTAGCCCTCCAGAGACTTTAGGATTGGCCGGTATCTAAAAATTATATAAAAATATAATTAATAAAATAAGCCATAATGGCTTGCTGAGAGCCAGTGTGGTGTAGTGGTTAAGAGCATGGGACTGGGACTCA